GAGTGGATGGATGGATGGATGGATGGATGGATGAATGGATGGATGGATGGATGGATGGATGGATGGAATGTTTACTCTGAAAATGTAAATACAAACTGATTTATGCTATAGAGTTCACAGATTTGTTTTGATGAGCAGCTGCCTAAAAACTCTAAAACTAAAACAACACCCAAACTAAACTGCAATTAATTATTATTATTATTTCCTGATGCATGCTCAATAATCCAGGTAGAAAAGTCTAAACAAGTGACTGAAGAAGTCTCTTGGATGAAAAGCAAAACGTTTCTACAATTTTTATTTTTTTTAACCCATCCAGAGGACCAGACTTAACTTTTTTTTTTTAGATATTAACAAAGTCCATGCTCGATAATCCAGGTATACAATCCACCAATTTTCAGTCAGGTCATCTGGACAGTTTCTTTTTTTTTGTGTGTGCTGAAAAGGTTCACCTTCCATCCGGAATCAGTTTTGTGCTGTGTGTTTCCTTGACTGATGAAGCCTTCTGGATGGAAGGTGAAACGTTTCAGCACAAAAAAAGAAACTGTCCAGATGACCTGACTGAAAATTGGTGGATTGTATACCTGGATTATTGAGCATGGACTTTGTTGGTTTTGAACCAGTTTGGCATGACTGTCGACGAGGGAGAGGGCTGGCACCACAGGAGGGAGCGTGCCAAAGACACTATCTTAGCACCAACATAACTGGTTTATTCCACTTTGGAGTAAGCTGTTGGGGGAAGAATCGGTTTTGTGTTTTGTGTTTCCGTGACTGATGAAGCCTTCTGGATGGAAGGTGAAACGTTTCAGCACAACGCAGGGCCAAACCAAGGCATAAGCATACTAAGCAGCTGCTTAGGGCCCCCGGGCCACTAGGGGACCCCCTAAGAGGAATTCAATTTTTTTTTAGGTAATGATTTCTATATGATTTTATTTAATATTTTTAATTCAGCTTTTGCGAATTATTGCATACATCTACATAGTTTTAAAAACTAATTATCAACTTTAAATGTCTTTTTTTAACCATGTTATGTGGTGTCAAGAAATTGTTAATTTACATTATTTAATGATTACATTGATATTTTATTTTGTCTGTTTTTGCACAGTTTAATTTTTCTATGCATCTAAGTTATGTTATCTGTCTGTTGTTGATCTTGCAGTACAAATTGTTTTGACCATTGCTGTTGCAGTTCTTTGGAACCAAAGATAATAAGCCAGATAACACTTTTGCTATAAAATACATTGCATACTGGTGTTTTTTTCTTCTTTTGTTACTTTTAGTATATACATATAGGATAGTAAACAGGGCTGTCAGAGTTGCATTGAGTTTATGTTAGGTGAATGATCTAATAATCTGACTGTTGATTGCAGTAATCCAATTTTTTTCATTTTCATTTACCCTTTATTTATACAAGTAGTCTCATTGAACAACTCATTTTCAATAGAGACCTGTTTAGGGAGCAGATGGGGGTTAAGGACCTTTCTTATGGGCCCAGGCCCCATGGAGGCTTGGACCGGCCCTGACAAAAAGAAACTGTCCAGATGACCAGACTGATTTTTTATTTTTTTTAGTTATTATTATTATTATTAGTAGTAGTAGTAGTAGTATTAATAATATATTTATTATTAATAATAATAATAAAATAAATAATAATAATATGTGTACAGGACTTTGCCCGGTCATGTCTCAAAGTGTGCCGGGTCACATCATCCGGTGCAACACCCCCGCTCAGATGGCGATCAGCTGTTGGCTGCTCGCTCACAGGAGGAAGTGATGCAGGAAAATGTCCATAATGTAGTTCGGCGTCTCGAAGGGGGAAGCACAAAGAAATAGACAGGTTTACTCCGAGATTGCCTTTTTATTTTCACTCAATTTTAACAACTAACCGAACAGAGAAATGAAAACTCCAACTGCTAGCCCCTGACTCGTTTAATTGTCAAAAGTGAAATCGAGTGCAACTTTATGGTTGAAGTTTTATTTTTTTATTGTTTTTTCTCGCTCAGCTGCCTCAGTGCTAGTAGTGAGCTAACAAGCTGACGACGAGTTTGCCTCAGTTCGTTTTAGCTCGGGTGTTTTTTTAGGCTAACTTATTTAACTTCTTTGTTTTGACTGGCGTTTCTTGAAAGATGTACGAACCAAACAACACGATGCGGGTTTTTTCTGAAAAGGTAAGTTTCTTTTGGCGGACATTTAAGGCACTTCTGTTTGTATCAATCGGGAAAGACCTAGCTTAGCCGATAGCTAACTTTTAGCCATGTCGTCAGGGCCAGCCAGTTCAGATGTACACATTTAAATAGCCCGGCGACGAAGAAGTATTTTCTATCAATAGCTGACTTTTGCCTTAAATTACCTATAACAGCCTAAACTGTCACTTTTATTTGATGATGGGGAGTGTTTACATCTCATTTGGAAGTGTTGTGCATGTGCTGCTAAGCTTCCTTGATCCGGTTGTCCATTTCCAACAAACAGTGGTTGTTATAATAATCATATAGTTAGTTGTTTTACATTCGTAATACTGTTGCAGATGTTATTCTCAATGTTCTTTAAACTTTACTTCACCGTGTACACTTTTTAAGTTGAGCTAATCCGGTCTGGAAATGCTGCATGGTGCCAAGTCAAGAGTTTATTTCTATTTAAGTACATATTTAAAAGCAGTAGTCGTTGACCAAAGTGTTGCATAACTTGTTAAAATGATCATTAGTAAACTTGAGCCAAATTTAAAACTTCAAATTAAAACATGTATAACAATCTTGCACAATAAGAGCCTTATTAAAGCAAAACTACAGAGAATAAATGCTCTGAGCCTGTGAAGTTTGGGTTTAGAAGTAACCAGAAGGTTCTGCCTTCTGCAGCTCTGCATGTGAGCTGTAGTTTGTTTAAACACAAGATTATTATTTTTCTGAACACTTTCATTTGGACAAGAAACGTCAAATCAGAGACAAAAATTGGCAACATCCTATAGTGCACAGTCAGTTATTGCGTAAATGCAATGAACTGTCTTTTAAATTCGTTATTGAGTAAACCTGTAAGTAATTATTTGCAGGATCGGTTTAGTTGCGCTCAGATGACGCGCTGGAAGCGTGTTGACAAAAATAGTCCGAGCAGGTTTGGGAATGATGAGCTATCACTTTCTGCTTATGATGACAAGATAATGTGTCTTTTCAGCATTGCTGATGTCAAGGTCACAATGATGGAGCAGATTTGAGAGACAATGCTGTCTGAAGGAGTGTCTGTAAGTAACATTTTTAATCCTCTGCTCAACTAGTTATAATCCACAGAGTCATTGCACACATTGTGTGGGTGTAGATGGGAATATGAAGTGAACACACAAAGCTGTTTGGTTTTGGTCACTGGGATGTTCGAAAGAGGAGGCTGCATTTACAGTTGGAGCTCCAAAATTTACCAAATTGATTTAAGCTGCTAATTAATATCTGTGTGTTTATGGTTGTCAATAAATTCAACATGATTTTTTTTTTTTCATTCAACCTTTATTTAGACAGATAAGTCACATTGAGCCTAGAAGACTCATTTACAAGTGAGACCTGTTTAGACACACAAAAAGAAGTGAAACTGGACACATGTAGGATTGGCTGAGCTAGCCACCACAACTTCAAGGTAAAGGTCTAACCTCTGAAAGTTTGAAATATAATCAAGCTACTCTTAACCGTAAGTGATTTACAAGATGTTGCTTCACGGTGGTGTTATGGATATCTGTAGATTTGGCTGACTTATAGCCATTTTCTGTTGACTAATTTCAATTAGCTCTGAGGATCATCCTGACTTGGATTAAGTCCAAAAGCTAATCATGTCTAGATGTATATCCAGTGTTCATGTTCCAAAATGTTTGGTTAAAAATCCCTTCAACTGTTCATGATATTTTATTTTATTAACAAACAGGTTTGACTGCACCAGTTATTGCTAAACCTTTAGGGAACAATCGTGCACAGTGAGTGGCACTTGGATTATAAATTGACTGACTCTCAGCTGCAACCACGCAGAAGTTTAGCACAATCACTTAATATAGCCTGAATTATACTAGCCATTTTGTGTTTTCTAAGTCCAGCTGGTTGTTTCATTTGTCCTTAATGAAATTGGCTTAAAAATGTAAACCTTGCAATTTTGTCTAAAATCTGTTCAGTGATTCATTAGCTATTTTGCTAACCGATGGAATAGACTTCCAGCAGTTACTAGAATTATAAATAAGTAGGGATGTGCAATATTCCCTGAGGTCAGCGGACCAGTTGCTCCTCACAGTTCCAGGAACTCGTCTTAAGCGCAGAGGGGACAGGGCCTTCTCTGTAGCAGGACCAAGACTTTGGAACGAGTTACCTCTGCTTGTCAGACAGGCCCCCTCCCTCTCAGTTTTCAAATCCCGTTTAAAAACTCACTACTATTCAGTAGCTTTCAACACCAGATGATCTGTGTTGTGAACCTGTACGCTCCACACTGGTTTGTCGTCATATTTATTATCTGCATTGTTTTTATGTCTATTTTTGATTTACTTCATTTTTTTTATTGCTTTGTGTGTTGTTCTGTCTGTACAGCACTTTGGTTGGCCTTGTAGCTGTTTTAAGTGCTCTATAAATAAAATGGTATGATATGGTATATTAACTGCATGGTTTCAGCTGATAATGGTGATAAAGTTAAATATCGGACATCGGCCATTCCATCAAAATCACTTATATAAAAGGCACTGTTTATA